TCAAGTTTGAAGATAATTAGGCCAATAATCAACGAGATACAGCCATTCAAACTCCCCAACGTGTCTATAAACGAATTTTCACGCTTTTGAGTGGCTGTAACGTCTTTAACATTTTTATCGATTAACACCAAAATTTGGGATTCTGTAAAGCTTTGTGTGCTTTTTCTGGCTGTTACGAAACTAATCCTCATTGGTTTGAAAACAGGCAAATAACTCTTATGGCCTATAACGAAACCTCGTTATAGCGAATGAATTTTGTCAATCCCTTGGCTCTTCGTTAAATCGAGGTTCCACTGTAACTATATCATTTCCTTGATTCTCATTAGACGTAGAAAAAAGTTGTGACTTTTGGGTCTGGATTAAATCCTATGAGCGACAATTCAAATGTAACCTCTTTATCAGTATTTTTACATGGCATAGCACCACTTTTTTTACTCATAGTTAAAGTTCAGTTCGCTTATTTCTAACTTCTGAGTCTGAGGATGAAATCCTGTAGTTTGACCACTCAAATGAAAACTGTTGAGTAGTACATGCACTTTCCTGTAGTGCTGTTTATTAAGCTGTTCAAGGTGGTTCTAACTTTTGCCTCTGTGGATGAAATCCTACGGTGTAACCATTCAAATGAAAGCTACTGAGCGGTTCTTTCCTGTGGTACTGTTCATTATGTTGTACATGATGTTTCTAACTTTTGACTATGTGGATGAAATCCTTGGGTATGACAATTCCAATGAAAGCTACTGAGCAGTACTTTCTTGTGGCACTGTTTAATATGCCACACAAGGTGGTTCTATATTTTGAGTTTGTGGATGAAACCCTGTGGTGTGACCGTTCAAACACAACCTCCACTCCACTCTTGAGCAGTACTAGGGAAATATTGTTTTTCTCGATGTTTGTATGACCACTTAACTAATGACGTTATCATCTTTGTAAAACTTACGTCGAACAGTGACGTACGCTGAAGATTTCACTTCTCCTGCGTCGTTCGATGCTATGCAAGTATAGTTTCCAGATGTCCTGACTTTTGGAACAAACAACGTCTCACCGTAGCTACTGCGTGCTTCCACGATGAATTTGCCATCGCGTCGCCAACTGATGTCCGGTTTTGGATAGCCGTTTGCCGTGCAGTATAAAGAAAGGTCTGTGTCGGGATTGATTGTGATTGGTCGAGGATGATTGGTAATAACTGGCGGGACATTTTTGACTAAAGAGAAAGCAACATCATTACTTATAGTAACAAAATAAACGCGATAAATCAAGTTACTTGAGTAATAATAATTATTTTTCAACAGGAATACGGAGAAATTGTACAAATCTTAACATGGACATGTAATTTACTGACATACTGTAGAGTGTCTTACTTTTGATTCAACTGCTACAATCCTGAAGTAAATCCTTCTAACGAGTTATGGAACAGCAAAGCTTTATTCTATGGGTGAATGGGGCTCTGGGTCTACCATTAGTATACGGCGTTTTGGCACGATCACGTGGTCGATAAGCTGTTACGTCCTTTGCAAAATGACGTTCAATTTAACCCTTTAAACCCTAAGATCAAAATTGAATTCTCATTTGTTGCTCCTATTCATTTCCTATAGAAGTAGTGGGGAGAAGTTGATAAAACATCAAGTAAATTCATCTTGTGTGATCATGTCCGTAATTCTCATGACCACTCTGTTTGACAAAGCATGATATTAGCAGGAGAAATTTGATGCTGATCACTTTTAGGGCTTGAAGGGTTAAGAAAAGGATGAACACTAATTTTGATAGCGACCTTTATTATGCCCGACGGCAACGGTGGCAAAAAAAAAATAATAAAAAGAACGTCAGCGTTAAAAATGAAGTCGCCTTTTTTTCAGACAATTTCGCTTTTGCTTCATCTCACTTAATATGTTAAATGTAGGTGAATTTTCGCGGAGTTGATTATCGGGGACCCTATTCCAGTTCAGAAAAAGAAAGAAAAATTCTTCGTCGTGTGTTTACGTCCTCCATAAAACGCCACACAAGGACGTGGTCGTGCAGTGACGACAAAGAAATGCATCAAAAAGTGCGCTGAACGTGCAAAGTTGTTGCTTTGCTTATCTGAGGCCCAGTCCACACAAATCCGGATATTTTTATTACTTTTTTTTTTACACGGAACGGCCTTCCATCTACACGAAACTAGTGAATCCGGACGCCGAAATCGCATTGTTTTGAAACCGCTCTCCAGAGCGGTCTAAGGCACCGCCCACATGAATGCGGATAAAAAGTATGCGGTTTCCAAATTGTCCGAATTCCTGTGGGCATAGCCTAAACCTATTGCTTTTCTGTCGTTCTCTTTTTTTCCCTCGTCATCGTTGCTAAACCACCCTAATGAATCGACACAAACCTTCGACAACTAGATCGGTCTTCCGAGAGTAGTACCATCCTAGTCTGTTTGTAGCTATACACTGGATTTTCCCCGTGTCCNTTCATCTCACTTAATATGTTAAATGTAGGTGAATTTTCGCGGAGTTGATTATCGGGGACCCTATTCCAGTTCAGAAAAAGAAAGAAAAATTCTTCGTCGTGTGTTTACGTCCTCCATAAAACGCCACACAAGGACGTGGTCGTGCAGTGACGACAAAGAAATGCATCGAAAAGTGCGCTGAACGTGCAAAGTTGTTGCTTTGCTTATCTGAGGCCCAGTCCACACAAATCCGGATATTTTTATTACTTTTTTTTTACACGAAACGGCCTTCCATCTACACGAAACTAGTGAATCCGGACGCCGAAATCGCATTGTTTTGAAACCGCTCTCCAGAGCGGTTTAAGGCACCGCTCACATGAATGCGGATAAAAAATATGCGGTTTCCAAATTGTCCGAATTCCTGTGGGCATAGCCTAAACCTATTGCTTTTCTGTCGTTCTCTTTTTTTCCCTCGTCATCGTTGCTAAACCACCCTAATGAATCGACACAAACCTTCGACAACTAGATCGGTCTTCCGAGAGTAGTACCATCCTAGTCTGTTTGTAGCTATACACTGGATTTTCCCCGTGTCCTCCAACTTAAGATCACTTATCTCCAGTACTCCATTACTTGGTGATGTGTATCTAGGATCTGAGGAATTCAGAGGGACATATCCCCGTAACCAAGTAATAGCAGGTTCAGGATCACCTTCCGCAGTACAATTGAACACCGCCGTCCCTCCAACATATTTTACTTGACGAGATGGATGTCGTTTTACTTTTGGAAATCCTTCCGGCACATTTGAGGACGCTGCAAAAAAAAGATCAAAATGTTAACCTTGGACGAATTCTGAACGGTAATAGATTCACAACCAAAAATCGTGAAAAATGTATCTTATGCTCGGCCGTCCCGTGCGCGGCTCACCTTTTCCGCTACCCCCAAAGGGTACGCAGTACTATTTACGAGGTAAAGTATAGTGTAGCTGTTAATTTTCATATGATGTTGTAATGTTAGCTTCACATCGTAGGTAGAAACCTCCACAAAGAAAACACGAGCGCGCGGTATATTGCCCACCTCCCCCTTCCCCGAGGCGTCCCCTCACGAAAGATGATTCCGGCGCGCGACTCGCGCGTTCCAATCGCTCTCCTATCTATAGACTGCGAGCAGTCTCTTCTTTTTCTATGTGAAGTTACTGCTCGCGAAACCCAAGCCCGCTTTTCCAGATTGCGCGCGTCCTATTTTCTCTTGCTTGTAAGGCGTAGAATTTTATTGCTTTTAATATTCTTTCATTATCAAAACATAAAGTTAAGGGGGCACTTCATCGACAACTTTTAGATATTCTATTGTTTGAGGATGGTTATGTTGACACGCTTACTATTACCGCTAGATTTAAACAGCTTTGAACTCTGCGTTATATCTATTTCGTTTCTCATAAAATCATATTTTTTTCTTAGTTTTTTTTCGTTTTCAACCCTCTGTTAACTTTAGTATATATTTATGTAAATAATATAAATTTTCTATCTGTGCTACTTTACGGGTCAGCACATTGGTCAGCACTATCTTACAAATATGTATGTGAGGTTGTTGTTGTATCTTAGAGCCTGGCACAAGCTACATTTCTTTTACATCACGGCACGTGCAGCAGGTGCATCAATCGATGCCACAGCACGTTTATTACAAGCTGAAGCAACGCCTGATGCAAAGCATGTGCTGCCTGGTGGATAGCAGGTGAAGCATGTGCTGATAGCACGTGAAGCACGTGTTATGCGCGCATATCTGTGAACAAACGCACCAGGGTGCTAACGGAATGAGATAATAATGAGAACAAGGCTTTTTGGATTCTTTATAATTACAAATTGAACTGCGTTTAATCAAATGCAGCAGCTTTCAAGCTCTCTAGGGCGCTATGGCACTCCCCATTTTTCGCCCCACCGCCAGAGTACCCCGGAGAGCCTTAGAGTGTTTTGGGTGTATTCATTTACAGCACTGATTGTCGCATTTATCCGCTGGAATTTTTTTTATCGTTTTTTTGCTCAAAGACAGCAAAAAACGAGGCAAACGAATCCAATATTTGATATCAAAACATTCCATAAAAAGTGCTTTTTGTTATACATGTATCCCAGCTGGCAGGGGCACCCAACGTCAATTTTCGGAAAATATCTGTTCGGAAGACGATTTGAGATCTAGAATTTTCGGAACATTTGTTGTAAAATTTCTTGCTTGCAATTTGCTTGCCTCTCCTAGGATTTTCGAACATCTAAATCCTGGTATAACTGCCCTTTTTAATGGATTTTTACCCTGAAAAGGTCACCTAGAATTTTCGATAGCCTTTTTTCTGGGTGAAAATTTCGAAAAGGTAAGTTTTGATCCCTATGATTTTCGGATCACAAGCCTTTCAGCTAGGAAATCCAAACAGATGAAACATTTTTAGGGGATAAAAATATGCCTATATCTATCGTTTAAGTACTAAAATACGTTTAACAATCCTATGTTTAAGTTGTTTTGAACCTTATTCTCGTTGGGTGCCCCTGAGCTGGAAATAGATAGCCGCAAGTTCTGCCGGAAGAAGTTTCACGAGAGAAGCTATTGTAATTAATCCACAGACTCGAAAATTCTAATGACAGATTTTCTTATAGTAAGTTTTTAATGTGGATGTGTCATGCCAGAAGGGGTAAAACAAATCACAGAGCAGAATTTGTAAGAGTTTCACAATACAGTGAAGCTTATCTCTTGGGAGGTGGACTTTCTGCAAACAATATTTGTCTGAAATGAGGCTCAAAAGATTAAGAGAAAAGTGTGGTCCATGGTGGCTAAGAAACAAAATAAATACTGGATGAAAAGAAATTTAGCAATAACGCACTCAGAAAATGTCATAAAGAACACTTCCACTGAAGTTTACCCGAGACGGGAACGCAAGTAAGACAACGGATACGCGAATGTCAGCAACGCGAACGACTTCACTTTAAAAACTACGTCTGGAAAAAAAACACCTCCTCTAAGCTGTGTAACTAAATTTCAGCGTGGAGGGAAAAATTATTTTTGCAAGTTTTGATTCTGTGGATGAAGTCCTATGGTGCTACCATTCAAACAAAACCCCTCGAGCAGTACGTTTGCACTTTGCTGTTCGTTTTTATAACAGGAAATTGAAGACGTCTTTCTCTAATTTTCATATTAGCGTAAAGGGTTAAATAAAGGGGTGAACTTATGCCTCCTAAGCTGGTCTTGCACTTACGAAGGTGCGTGCATTTCTGTTGATTTTACTATGCCCACCACTCATTAAAAATCACATCTCTCTTACTATGACAAACAATTAATGAAATGCAAAGTCTAAGAACTGTCTTCTTTGCTTACTTTGCAGTATCGCTAAAATAACCTTTAATCTTTAGGGGTCGAAAACACTCCACAGCAGAAACAATGGAACAATCGGTGCAGTCTTCACAAATATTTGTACTAAAACCAAACAAACTTTAAACAAGACTGCACTTATCAGTTTCCTGTTAGGCACACGGTGAATTGTGTTTGAGGAAATTGATCCTGTATTTAATGTAACTTTCTTCGATCTGATAACAAGCAACACCTCACGCATCGAAACGAGCAGCAAGCCGCATGTAGAGTTGTATAATTTCATTTTATTGGTTAGTTCGTTCGTTTCTCTTTCTCGTTTTTTTAGTATTATTATTTTGAACTCTGGATGTGTACTTAAATTGATACCAACTTGGTAGGCTGGAAAAGCAAACAGCTAAAACAAAACTGTTTGTTTTTGAAAAAATAGGAGAAAGCAGGCTTCAGATAGCATCATTTAATCGGGCGCTCATCTTATCTTAAAATGGACTAAAACGTGTGATGGTTTTAACAAAAACCTGGCGTTTTTTTCCCATCATTCGACACGTAAGGAGGCAACATGCAACAGGTAAAACACTTACTCCCTAGAATGGTCGAGAAAAAGTTTTTCTGTATCATATATCATCAAATAAAAATCCGCTTATAACGTAAACTTAAGCAGATAGAAAAAAACATTAAGAAAATCCAAAAGTCTGAGAAATGCAAGCAAGGAAAGAAAAAATCAAGTTGAGGCAGTTTTAAGACCACTATAGCTACAATGAACCTGCAGAAAGCAACTTACATACCGTCTGTGGAAAAGTGACGAAACAGAGAATGGAGATATAAACGACAAACAATGCGAAAAAATAATGTCTGTAAAAGAAGTGAATTCTTTGGTTGCTATTGGATTAGATTAAAAAGGTAACTGTTACAGATTAGAAATAAACAAGTAGTATCTACAGTTTATTTGTCGGAACCGACCAAAAGTTAAAATTCTTCGCAGTGGCTTGTAAATCGGCAATTGCTCTTTATTTTTAATACGTGGTCTCCTAAATTGCTTGTGTGTGCTCAGCGCACGAACGCCACAAGAAAACGATCAGCGGTATTTCAAGAAACTGCCATTTTCATAGAACAACGAAAACGAACTCTTGGCCAAGGAAGTTTTCAGGCCACATTTGCTTGATCTTTCTTGAAGACTAGGCAATTTTAAAATAACAGGTAAGTGCTCACAGTACAAAAACATTTTTTACACTTGCATGAAAATGCCTAAAATCCAGTGGGATTTTTTTCCAGTGGAATACAGAACATTTAGCGTCGATTCTTTTTTATGTCTCTCTCTTCGCAAACGCCTGATCACAGGTCAACAAAACATTGACACCAGTCCATGGACCAGTCAACTGTTTTTGACGAACTGTTTAACTTAAAAACAAAAAAAATTCTGAACTTGAAGGAATAGGCTCGGCATACTTTTCTTTGAGGGATGTACAGCACAAAACGAACTTCGCGTGAACGTAACTAATAAACAACTATTTTCCATAGTTACTTTTATAATTATTTGAATTAAAATCCACTTCCACTTGACTTACCTCCTCTTCTTCTATAAACTTGTAAAAAAGCTTGTTTTGAAGTCGAAGAGCCTATCGCATTTGTGGCCCTGCAGGAGTAATTTCCTTGATGCCTTGAAGACCGGAGAGTTAGAAAACGCAATAGTTCACCCTTCCCATTCGAGATTGGATACTTGACATAAAAATAGTGTCTTCTGTCGCCAAGACGCTTGCTATCCTTGTACCATGTAATGTTAGGTGTGGGTGTTCCAGTTACTTTACATACGAACTGTGCGGTGTTTCTTTCAACACCGGCATTTGTCGCCGATGTAAGAGTGGCTGTTGGAGCTGTGGAGACAAAGAATCAATAAAAAAATCGTTGGCATTTTCATCAGCAGGATGTAGGAGGGCTATTTCAGGGGTATCCAATGATGGTTTCGTACAACCAATTTTAGGCTATCCAAAGTAATTTTAGATTTCTAAAAATGCCTTCTAAGCCACACTATAAGTATCTGTTTGGTCATCCTACGGCAACTTGAGCCTTTTCAAAATTACAAGGGCTTCAGGAACATTTTCTTGAAATTTTAAGAAGGATGTACAATCTAAAGCTTTATGGCGGTGAGAATTTTTCTGATTACTCTCCCCATCACATTATCGAAATCCGAAAATTTTAGTTTCCTTTTTCTACAAATTATAGCTCCATGGGAAGGGAAACGTGAAGTTCAAAAAATGGTAGGAAATTTATAAGATCAGCTTCAAAAATCGTTCATGAACGGAATGGTCATCTAGATATTTTAAGCTACCTGCTAGCTATAGAAATCTCTAGGCAATATTTGCTCCTGTGAACAGATATGTTGCACAACACAGTCGGTTGGTGCTCTGTGCTAGTGACATTCAAATCTTTGTATAATTTGTTTTGATCTCTACAATCTGCAAACTACATACAACTCAGTTGAACTGAAAACCTATGAAATATAATGAGTAATTTGTACTGCAGCTGTAACCAACTATTGCTTATTTACCCAACAGATCTATTCACGAGTGTTATAGAGCTGACTATAATTCAGCATTTCCATGTGACAATACAGGATTGTTAGGAGATCAGACCTCTTACAGGATAAATTTAATAACATGCCCGAAATACATGTATGTATACTGAGTTGTGCCGCCAAAAAACTCAAGTACTTGAGTAAATAACAATAAGTACATGTATTTCAGTAACAGTCAGGGACACCCATTGTCAATTTTCGGAAAATATCTGTTCGGATGACGATTTGAAATCTACAATTTTCGGAACATTTGTTGTAAAATTTCCTGCTTGCCTGCCTCCCCTAGGATTTTCGAACATCTAAATAATGGTATAATTGCCCTTGTTTAACGGATTATTACCCTAAAAAGGTCACCTAGAATTATCGGGAGCCTTTTTTCTGGTTGAAATTTTCGAAAAGTAAGTTTTGATCCCTATAATTTTTGGATCACTAGACTTTCAGCTAGGAAATCCGAACAGATGAAAAAAATATGTTTAGCAATGCTATGTTTAAGAGGTTTTGAAATATATTCTCGTTGGGTGCCCTTAAACACTATTAAAGGAGTAAAAATGAGATTTGTATAAAATAAGATTGGAAAGTAAAACCTTCTGAACTCTTAGCAAATGTAGCAGAGAAATACAAGCAACAAAGAAATCCCAGGAACAATCTACAGAGTGTTGTACCCGAGCTCACATCCATGACATTTGATGTTAAAATGTGTACAGTATGCCGTGTAGTTTAGTAGTTAGCTGTGTGTCACAACAAGCTAGCTTAGGTTACCTCATATGATGGACATATGATAATAATTATTATTTTCACATTAATATGTAAACACAAACAAATCCTGTGATTTTCAGAATGGAGTGTTTTGGATTATGTTAAAATAGTGAATAGTGGAGCAAGCATAAGTGTGTGTGAAAATTGCCACCTAGGGTGATGTACTCAGCGTGAAAAGAAAGACTCAGCGTGAAAAGAAAGTCATGTCCTATAGCCCAGGGCTAATGGATTTTGGTTTCGGGCTAGTGAATTCTGTTCTTAACTTGCCCGACAGGCAAGTGAATTTTTTGGGGAAATTGAAATTACAGAAGGATTGTAATCAATATATTCTGCTAATCAAAAAAGGTTTTTGTGGCTAGTTGAAATGACTCGTGGGCTAGTAGAAGCTAGCTACAGCTTGCCCAAATGACAGGCTGTAAAACTGACTTTCTTTGCACCCTGTGTACTGTATTTCTACAAGTTCATGTGAAAGTGTAAAAGGTGCTTGTAATATTTGAGTCTGAGGATGAAATCCTGAAGCGTGACCATTTGCATGAAATCTATATTAAGCGGCACCTTCGTGGTGCTCACCTTACTTTGTTGTTCAACATAATTGAAGGCACATGTCCTAAATTCTAACATCCTTTCTCCTTCTATGTGTTCTTATTGTTTTGTTTTGTTTTTTTTTGGCATTTTTGGTATTTATAAATTCAAGGTATATGAAGTGTGTAACCATTATGCACTTTGGATAGGACATGAACTCACAGTCTAGAAGTGATTAATGCAATGTATGTAATCAGCTTGTCTAATATTATTTTAAGATTGTGCATCAAAATCACCAGCTTTGAGGAAGTTAACGTTCCATGTGAGCTGGGATTTTACATGCATTGGCATATTCTGCTTGCTTGACTATTTGGCGGGAATAAAGGATATGTAGTCTAGAATTGTGATTACATAATCAGTGTGTCCTCTATAAGAAACTAGTACATCTAAACACAAATAGCAACATTCAGAAACAGAATATTATTAAAGTCAAAACATAGGTAAGTGACATACAGTGAAACAGTGGTCAATTACCGACAGCATTGTAATATGGTATTGGAAAGGAATTTTTTTTAAATATTTGTGTGGAAAGTTCACATGCATGCCCAAAAGTCAATGAACCATTGCTGCTTATGTTATGGCTGCATCAGTACACCTATTACCCTTAATTATGATAACAACAAAAATGCTTTTATTCAATATATGTGTTGACTGAGTGGTCAATTATGGGAATTTAAAAAACAAAGGCATACAGCTGTAAGACCCATCAGGTATTTATCGCAAANTTCTTTGCACCCTGTGTACTGTATTTCTACAAGTTCATGTGAAAGTGTAAAAGGTGCTTGTAATATTTGAGTCTGAGGATGAAATCCTGAAGCGTGACCATTTGCATGAAATCTATATTAAGCGGCACCTTCGTGGTGCTCACCTTACTTTGTTGTTCAACATAATTGAAGGCACATGTCCTAAATTCTAACATCCTTTCTCCTTCTATGTGTTGTTATTGTTTTGTTTTGTTTTTTTTTGGCATTTTTGGTATTTATAAATTCAAGGTATATGAAGTGTGTAACCATTATGCACTTTGGATAGGACATGAACTCACAGTCTAGAAGTGATTAATGCAATGTATGTAATCAGCTTGTCTAATATTATTTTAAGATTGTGCATCAAAATCACCAGCTTTGAGGAAGTTAACGTTCCATGTGAGCTGGGATTTTACATGCATTGGCATATTCTGCTTGCTTGACTATTTGGCGGGAATAAAGGATATGTAGTCTAGAATTGTGATTACATAATCAGTGTGTCCTCTATAAGAAACTAGTACATCTAAACACAAATAGCAACATTCAGAAACAGAATATTATTAAAGTCAAAACATACGTAAGTGACATACAGTGAAACAGTGGTCAATTACCGACAGCATTGTAATATGGTATTGGAAAGGAATTTTTTTTAAATATTTGTGTGGAAAGTTCACATGCATGCCCAAAAGTCAATGAACCATTGCTGCTTATGTTATGGCTGCATCAGTACACCTATTACCCTTAATTATGATAACAACAAAAATGCTTTTATTCAATATATGTGTTGACTGAGTGGTCAATTATGGGAATTTAAAAAACAAAGGCATACAGCTGTAAGACCCATCAGGTATTTATCGCAAAATTGGTCACTTACGAGAGCTTTCTTCTTTCAGACCGTAAGTCAGTTCAAATTGGATTTTCACAGATTAAGTGGTTATATCTATAAATGTAAGCTGGTTGAGAGAATTTTCATTCTCTCCCAAACATAAACCTTATCTCTGCTTAAATCATTCATGAGACTTTTTGGTGACATCATGCTTCTGCAAGCATAAACTGTGAAAAATGTGCTCTGTGTCCCTTGACAGGTGTGGCCTCGAAGACACCAGGGAATACTGTTGGGCGGCACTAATCCAGGGTGGTGTCTCCTAATTAGCTCTGCCTTCTACAGTGTATACACGACTTAATTTACCTTACATGATCATGTCCGGACTGTACTACACTTATTGATCAGTGTACAGAAAATGAGAGATATATCAAAATTAATATTCACTAACAAGCCATATGTATAATATTATTTAAAAAGACCCCTGCTAATGTTCTCAGCTTCATGCAAACATTTTGTGTTATTGTACTGTGTGATAATCTCTTCCATCCCAAACTATCTTTAATCCTTGAGTAAACAAACTCAAACTAGAATCCCAAATTCAAGTAATGCATTGACAGAGCATGCGATGTAATTGCCACAACAAAAAAATAGATCTGACATATTTTTTTCAGTTGTTCTGATGAATGTTGGATTTCACCCTGTGCAAATATTATGCAAATGAGAAAAAATAGTCTCATGTTCTTGCTTATTTGCATTAGATTCGGCACATGTGAAATCCAATTTTTGAACCACCCCTTGTGTCATTAAGTCAACATGCATTAATTAATAATCAATATTATTAATTAATGAAAGTATTAAGTTGTATGCAATCAGATATGTGCAGCTACAGTACAGAGCCAGTCTGGCGGACTACATATTTTAATTAAGACCTGGTTTTAGAGAGATAATGCAAGTTTTGTAGAAAATCTGATAGATGTAGAGAATTTATGTTATTTTAAGAGTTTTTAGGAATGGAATCATCCAAAAAATTTAGCTCTTTATGAATGTGTTAGCATTCTTTTGTTGATTCTGACTTAGCTCACAGCCATTGTATGAGTTTTGGGGAAAATGTTCTCACCCCATTTTTCTCCTCTGCAAGTACAAGTGCTGGTGGCTCTCACCAAAATTTTCCTCAAACTTACACAAGTGAGTCTGCCTGCAGGCTAATTTTCACTCAGCTCTTTCTACAGCAAAAGCAGGCCGACAGGCATCTCACCTAATTATTACATCCTTATGCTAAAATTAGATGATGACTGAAATTAATGATGAAAAAAACAAAATCAATTCGTTAATCTTTAGAGAGCAGTTGTTTTGCTTTGCTGATAAAACAAACCTATCACAAGTTATCTGTAAGTTTGACCTTTAGAAAAATGTAATTTGCAGTTGATTTTTAGCTTTGGACAAGTGTAAGCAGGATGGTAGGACAAGGGTACATGTACCCTAGCAAAGACACAATTTACTGATGCAGAACCAAATCAATGACTATTTGACAAAGATGTTGTTGAAAGGTTTTAGGGAATAATATGGACAGTAGGACGCCAACGTAACTTAACACCAGCTTAGATCATATTCATACACAGTAAATAAATAACTCCATATCAGCGTTTTGACCAGTCTAGTTTATGTTAACCCAGTTGAATAAGAATGCATCCAAGGTTATTGTGCTAAAACCTGATAGAAAGCAGGTCTCATACACTGGTACTAGACGTTAGATCTCTATTTGTAATGATAAATGCTGTTGATAGATCTATGGATAAGATGACCATAAAAGGGTCCCTTAATTACAGAGAGGGGGTAAAGGTTCTTAAAGAGATTAGTTCGATTCTTTGCACCCTGTGTACTGTATTTCTACAAGTTCATGTGAAAGTGTAAAAGGTGCTTGTAATATTTGAGTCTGAGGATGAAATCCTGAAGCGTGACCATTTGCATGAAATCTATATTAAGCGGCACCTTTGTGGTGCTCACCTTACTTTGTTGTTCAACATAATTGAAGGCACATGTCCTAAATTCTAACATCCTTTCTCCTTCTATGTGTTCTTATTGTTTTGTTTTTTTTTTTTGGCATTTTTGGTATTTATAAATTTAAGGTATATGAAGTGTGTAACCATTATGCACTTTGGATAGGACATGAACTCACAGTCTAGAAGTGATTAATACAATGTATGTAATCAGCTTGTCTAATATTATTTTAAGATTGTGCATCAAAATCACCAGCTGTGAGGAAGTTAACGTTCCATGTGAGCTGGGATTTTCACATGCATTGGCATATTCTGCTTGCTTGACTATTTGGCGGGAATAAAGGATATGTAGTCTAGAATTGTGATTACATAATCAGTGTGTCCTCTATAAGAAACTAGTACATCTAAGCACAAATAGCAACATTCAGAAACAGAATATTATTAAAGTCAAAACATAGGTAAGTGACATACAGTGAAACAGTGGTCAATTACCGATGGTGTTGTAATATGGTATTGGAAAGGGTTTTTTTAATATTTGTGTGGAAAGTTCACATGCATGCCAAAAAGTCAATGAACCATTGCTGCTTATGTTATTGCTGCATCAGTACACCTATTACCCTTAATTATGATAACAACAAAAATGCTTTTATTCAGTTTATGTGTTGACTGAGTGGTCAATTATGGGAATTTAAAAAACAAAGGCATACAGTTGTAAGACCCGTCAGGTATTTATCGTAAAATTGGTCACTTACGAGAGCTTTCTTCTTTCAGACCATAAGTCAGTTCAAATTGGATTTTCACAGATTAAGTGGTTATATCTATAATTGTAAGCTGGTTGAGAGAATTTTCATTCTCTCCTAAACATAAACCTTATCTCTGCTTAAATCATTCATGAGACTTTTTGGTGACATCATGCTTCTGCAAGCATAAACTGTGAAAGCATGGTCAATGTGCTCTGTGTCATACAATGTAAGTTATTAGGTTCAATTACTCTGGTCCCCCACACCCTATGAATTCCACATTGTTAATCAGTATAAAAATAATGACGATGTAAAATTTTACAAAAATATAATTTTGTGAAAGAGTTAAGTTAGTCTAGTTTAGAGGCCATGCTCTCTGAGAATTTTCTTTAATAATGTTAGCTTAGAATGGGCTGTCAGTTAGTTGAGACATGCAAAAAGAAATTCTCCTCATGCTTGCTTTTCTTTCCCCATGTCTTGACTTACTGTGAGCCCCTGTGTCCCTTGACAGGTGTGGCCTAGAAGACACCAGGGAATACTGTTGGGCGGCACTAATCCAGGGTGGTGTCTCCTAATTAGCTCTGCCTTCTACAGTGTATACATGACTTAATTTACCTTACATGATCATGTCCGGACTGTACTACACTTATTGATCAGTGTACAGAAAATGAGAGATATATCAAAATTAATATTCACTAACAAGCCATATGTATAATATTATTTAAAAAGACCCCTGCTAATGTTCTCAGCTTCATGCAAACATTTTGTGTTATTTGTACTGTGTGATAATCTCTTCCATCCCAAACTATCTTTAATCCTTGAGTAAACAAACTCAAACTATAATCCCAAATTCAAGTAATGCATTGACAGAGCATGCAATGTAATTGCCACAACAAAAAAATAGATCTGACATATTTTTTTCAGTTGTTCTGATGAATGTTGGATTTCACCCTGTGCAAATATTATGCAAATGAGAAAAAATAGTCTCATGTTCTTGCTTATTTGCATTAGATTTGGCACATGTGAAATCCAATTTTTGAACCACGCCTTGTGTCATTAAGTCAACATGCATTAATTAATAATCAATATTATTAATTAATGAAAGTATTAAGTTGTATGCAATCAGATATGTGCAGCTACAGTACAGAGCCAGTCTGGCGGACTACATATTTTAATTAAGACCTGGTTTTAGAGAGATAATGCAAGTTTTGTAGAAAATCTGATAGATGTAGAGAATTTATGTTATTTTAAGAGTTTTTAGGAATAGAATCATCCAAAAAATTTAGCTCTTAATGAATGTGTTAGCATTCTTTTGTTGATTCTGACTTAGCTCACAGCCATTGTATGAGTTTTGGGGAAAATATTCTCACCCCATTTTTCTCCTCTGCAAGTACAAGTGCTGGTGGCTCTCACCAAAATTTTCCTCAAACTTACACAAGTGAGTCTGCCTGCACTCTAATTTTCACTCAGCTCTTTCTACAGCAAAAGCAGGCCGACAGGCATCTCACCTAATTTTTACATCCTTATGCTAAAATTAGATGATGACTGAAATTAATGATGAAAAAAACAAAATCAATTCGTTAATCTTTAGAGAGCAGTTGTTTTGCTTTGCTGATAAAACAAACCTATCACAAGTTATCTGTAAGTTTGACCTTTAGAAAAATGTAATTTGCAGTTGATTTTTAGCTTTGGACAAGTGTAAGCAGGATGGTAGGACAAAGGTACACGTACCATAGCAAAGACACAATTTACTAATATATCACATGCAGAACCAAATCAATGACTATTTGACAAAGATGTTGTTGAAAGGTTTTGGAGAATAATATGGACAGTAGGACGCCGACGTAACTTAACACCAGGTTAGATCATATTCACACCCAGAAAATAACTTCATGTCACGGTTTTGACCAGTCTAGTTTATGTTAACCCAGTTGAATAATGCATCCTAGGGTATTGTGCTAAAACTTGATAGAAAGGAGGTCTTATACACTGGTACTAGACGTTAGATCTCTATTTGTAATGATAAATGCTGTTGATAGATCTATGGATAAGATGACCATAAAAGGGTCCCTTAATTACAGAGAGGGGGTAAAGGTTCTTAAAGAGATTAGTTCGAGTTTAAATTTAATAGTGTTTATAAGTTGCTTTAAAAATGGAAAATCTTACTGTATTCTTTATGAAAAGGTAGAAGAATAGAAAATCATAACTGTAGAAGCATCTGATTGCCATATGGAGATTATTGAAAGTAAAACAGTGAAATGGTGGCGAAGAGGTGTAAATGTACATTGTACATGAAACGTTATACTGAAACATATCAAATGGCCACAAAGATGAAATAGAATAGCTCCCCTGTTCCATAAATAGTTCAAGCTCTGCCTCCTCAGGAAGTTTTTATAAAACAATCTCTTTGTGATCGGAAATTCTCAAGAGATGACTTTTCCACCCACTACCAGCACCTTAGCTAACAAGCCTAACATGTACTTGTGCCACGCCAACACCAGTCCAGGGGGGGGGGGAGGGTACGCCCTAAAATGGTCTTATATATGGGCAGGAGCTCTTGATATGGGGAGACTCCATCCAAAAGGCGTACCTTTTTAAGGTTTCAGGTTTATTAAAGGGTGGCAAAATCTGTAATTTCGGTTTGTAGCTAACACGTGCATTTCAATGCTGTGAAAAAGTTGAGAAAAATTTCTGGTTTCAGAAGGTATGCCGCGAAATGAGTCAGGGGGTAGGACCTCGGGGTGGGGCCTCCCCACTTAACACTTTGTTGAGAAACCCCCCGGGCCACTAGTCCACTAACTTTTAACCACAATTCCATTGGTGGTAAAATTTGATCGTTCTAGAAAACAAAAGAAGTTTTCTCAGACGTGATGAATTTTGAGCTTTTTAAAATAATTATACAGAGATGTTGACCTTAATTTATATTCGTACTTTATTAACCCAAATAACTGAATATTCTAGCGGTGGCTTTGTGTCTTAACCGCAGCGAGAGGCAGACCGGAAAAAATGGAATATTCTTTCACATACCCATTGTTTCTCAAAAAACGTGGAATGAGTAAAATAATACGTAAAAGAAGTATACCTAATATTTTCGCGGAGAGGGAACGTTTCCGAAACGCATTCCTCTATATGATCACAGTCAAGATTGAAAAACTATACAGCTAGAACTTGTCGCAAACATTCATGCTTTGTTATCTCCAGGTTAAAAAAATATCGAAAGCCGAAATCTTATCAACTTAAGCATAAATCTGATGTGTGCCTTAATGATGATCTTAAAAGCATTTGAATATTTTTTAACAAAATACTCGGCACTCAGTGCTCTAAATAGCGTTGCAAATGCATAACTTTACCCTTAGTATTGAAGCTTCGGCATTCTAGCGATAAAACGTGTATTACCAAGTTTTTGCTCAACGCTCGATATCTTGTGCTCTTTACCTCGAGTCTAAATATTTTTATTCGAAGCAATAATAAAGTGGGATTGTTGATGAAAAAACGTGATACAAAAAATTTCCATCACCCTAGATTTATGATCCCTAAGCCTGAGGCTAAACAGATCTAAACACCAACTCAGCACAGCGGAGGTGTAAAATCTCAGTCATGACTAAAATTATCGTTATTTTTTTGGAACTCTTTTAAAAAAAATTCAATTACCAGGTGACTTTTAAATTGACCTACTAAAAAAGTACTTTTCGAACTTATTTTCCCGGTGTACTATGCTAAACGAACAAGTCTGTTGATGTTTACGTCGAAATAATAAAAAAAGGAGGAATATGCAATCACATGCTGGGCCATTGTTGTCAACGAGGATATCATTTTTCGAGCGAGCTGAAGTCTTGAAATCCTGATTTACTTCGAGGTACAATATCCAAGACTAATATAACCGAGTCCCCGACGAACGAACTGCTAAATTTGTCCGGTATTGGACTTACGGTTTGTCAATTACGGGCTTCAAAAGATGGATATTAAAGCGAGATCTTTGTAATCACGCAAACTAGCGAGTTCACGTACTCGAACGTCAACGTGCGACCTTTCAGCATGAAAATCATGTGTTTTATCTGTTAAGAATGAGAACAACCCTTGCCTCTTCGATGTGTCGCAATTCGTGATTCCACGGTAAACCAGTGAAAATAATGCCCGGAAGATAATTTTTTTTCATCGGCTTTTCGCGTAGGTTATTCCGCAAATGCGGTGTCCATTTCTAAGCTATTCAACAAACATCACTCCCGCTTAAGCGTAGAGACCAGGTCTGGGTCATCATTAAGGCCACACAAGCGTGTATGATAAGAAATAACGAAGATAGCAATGATAATTAGGTTAATTCAGATTTGCTTCGAGAAAGCATTCATTTATTAAATCGAACGATTAGTTTCGAGCGCGTAGCAACACGTTTGTACAAAGAAAGTTCATTTATACGCACTCGTTTGTGAAAAGTAAGCTAAGACGACTGCGATGAAAGGCAATGATGATTACATTCGTCAAATATCATTTATCAAAGAAGCAAATGGCCCTAAAAATCATATAGCCGCGTATGGGCACACTGTTTGCGTTCGAAGTAGTCAAGTATTGTTTACAAAATTATCAAATTCACGAAGGCCTTGATTTGCGAAATCGCCTCAAATAATTTGTTGAAGTGCCTTCAGAATTAACAGAGCTTCTATCTGCGTAGATTTTAGACAAGATAATTGGTAGCATCTTGGCGAATATCGCACTCAAAGCTTTGCGTTTTCATTCATCTCGAGTCAGCTAAAAGCCATTTAAGTAAAGTAAACCTCTATATGGGGAGCTAAAGTGAGAAAGAACGGAAGTCATTCTAGAAAGATATATCTTCTTTAAATAAACAATTTCTAACTCATTGCTTACCTTCGCTTTGGCCATAAACCACACAGAAAAAAATCCACATCCCGAGAAGCAAAGTTTTGTTTCTTTGACTCGATAATGCCATTTTGATTACTGTCTTGGTATCAACTTGTAGCTTTCACCCTGCCGCCGCTTGTCGATTTCACAGCTTGTTGATTTCAAGGCCCATGCAAAGCGTCCACTAAGTTCTTTGAAAGAAAAGCCAAAATATCTACAGTTGGTTTTTCAAATTCATAGCCGTAGTGATAGCGAAACATACGTGAATGAACGATCTAAACTTTTTGTGCAAACAGCTTGCTATAATGCTACACAATCGCTCGTTTAGCTACGGCGTTGTCTGAAGTTTTCTTGACAGATGAGAGTTGACATGACTGAATTGAAGCTACCCCACGTGACAAGCGCTAGAGCGTGACTTACTTTTGAAAACCCGTCTTCGAAATGCTACAAAGACCAACATACCACAAACGTCTACGGATTAAAGCGAGTATTGTATTTGATTATCCAATATACACAATCATAAATCCCAAGTGACTTTCTGGCATAGATTGATGCTGACTGTTTGTTGAGGCTGAAAGAAGCCAGTATTTTGGACTGTGGAATCTTGGAGGGGGTCTTCTCCTTGTGAATTTCGAGTGACCTGTTGTGTACAACCTGTGTACTCTGGCTTAGCCAGAGGAGTTTTTTATTTTACCCCTTTTAACAAAGCCAAGGAATATAATAACAGCCCAATGTCCCAAGAGAGAAAGAGACAAAAAACTCTTCGCGCCCAAAAACTTTGAATGTATTCTATTTTTGACAGAGTTTTGACTTGACGGCACTCCCTAGACCCAGGCTCCCTCTCGGTTGTTTACCTAACTTTTGGTATTTGGAAAGGGTGGAATACAGTGCAATATTAGTATACTCAAGGCCGGTCTGTGGTTTTCTCGCCTTTTTTCAAGGGTGTAAACATAAATTGTAAAAGTACGGAAATCCGTTTTCAAATAATTTCCGTTAATTTTAATTTCAAAAATATTTACGTCTCAGTCACAGATATTGGATTAAGGATATTCTGGCAGCAATATAATTATGAAAAGTCCTTCTGTCATGTGCTTATTTTACATATTCTTAGTTTTAACATTTTATAGAGTGTTTTCACATGACGTCACGGCGGCCATATTGGTGTCCCGAAACAATGAAACGGCGGCCATGTTGGTGTCCCAAACCAATCCTGTGGGAGTTGAACCCTTTTCTTATGCAAACGCTTTCTTTTGTTTCAATAAATTTGCATAGATGCTGGCCAAACACTGTGGTTAAGATGTGTAAAATTCTTCACATGCAATGTTGACTAACATTCAGAACAGAAAGAGTTTGTTTTTTTTTTGACGAGCAATTTCAACAGTTAGGAAGGAAATGAAGTCTTGTTGAATTGAAACATAATTGAAAATTGTTTTCCCTCTCGAATGAGTAAGAATAAGTCTCCACCGGAGTATCAATAAAAAACTTTAGCTGAAAAAAACTGAAGAACAGCCAGACTTGGTAACACCTCCGGAAACAGAAAACGAAATTGTTTTGAGTTATTAAACCAAATAGACCAGTTGAAGTTGTTGAAGATTGAAACAATGGAATGGTACAGTACAAATACCGGCATATCTTTGATGGCTGCAAGTAAGAACTTCTGAAACTACGGAATTCAACCCATCATCTTGGTTCCTTAACAGATCTAAAAAAAATAGTTTCTCCAACTCTATATTTTTACAATCCTGTTCTTTTCGATTTATTCAGAGTTATACGCCATGTTCTTTTTAATTACGAATGCCATAGTTTCGTTTTTTTGTTTCCAGGACGTTCCAGGAGTGTATCGTCTAGATCTTACCCAGTCCCGGACTGTTCTTCGGTTGTTAAACGTTTCTATTTTTTGCCCTGAGCGTTCAAATCCTTCGTCAACCTCAAGAAACTATTTCAGAATGTTGGTGTTGGTCGAAGGGTAGGATCAGTCTTTGGCCGGCCGTGGACCGGCCTGGATGCGCCCGCAGACCCCTACGGCTAGAGACTGACTGGGTAACTATGGCTCTAGTCTGAGCTGAAATGATGGGAAAATGGCGCGTTTTGCCTTTTGCGCGGCTTCATCCTTGATTTTGGGGGGGCTGGGGCTTTGCTGTTCCAGTTTATTCTGTCCAAGATCTTGGACAAAATAAGTGGTAAATTTAGAAACATTCCTCCCCCCCACCCCCAAAAAAAACCTTCAAAGAAAAGAAAATGCCACGTTTTGCCTTTTACGCGCCTTCATCCTCGATTTGGGTTAGGGGAGGATTGGGGTTCGTTGTCCCATTTTATTTTGATTTTTGGGGTCTGACTTTATGAGCCTAAGCGTATGCGCTGTCTTTATTGACATTCACTCTCATCTTAATCACTTTTCTGAATCTATAGAATTTTTACTTTGACCTCTTCTTTGAATCGAGACCAAAAAAAGTGGGTGCCCCAGACTGCAGGGAACAAAATTCCTTGGCCTTTGCCATCAGGTTTGTTGAAAATTACAAACTTTACAATTTTTTTTCGGAGGAGTGGCTTTCCACGAACATCTATCCAGTGATACACGTAACCACTTTTCAATCTGAAAGCTCTCCGTAGTGGAATCTGATTTTTGAAAACGCCGTTTTTTCGTTTTTCTCGTGTAGACGGATGTAAACCAATATTTCGACAATCGATGACATAACAACGGAATGTTTCACTGCGCGCCACCTTGCCTTTCTTTACCACTGATAGTATATCTCAATATACTTTTTTTTTTCTTTGGAGTAAAATGTGAATCATGCTATTATACAATACAAGCACTTCTTCAACCGCCAATCGATAAAACGCCTCATTCATCAGATGGCTGTTCACAAGGGAGACCTCGGACGGTCTGATAAAGTAAGGATAACTAACGTTTTAAATAAGGAGTACAGCTTCCTACTTATTTCCAACTTACCTTATCTTTTTTTGATTCCAAAAGGGAGTTACTTAGTCGTCAACGGTGTACCTGTAATAACAATAAAATAAGAGTGCTTAAAGACTAACATTGCGTCAAAAAGTTGTGTTGGTGATTCATGGTAGTGAAAGTATAAAAACTTTTCAATCGACAGATAAACGCACCGCGTTGCTTTGAATAACCTGAATCATTAAATTAGCAAGCAATCATCGGAGCCAGGCCGGAAATTAAACGCGAGGCACTTGTGGATGTTGTCTTTACGTAACGTCTTTCTAAATGTCTGCAGTACAATATTGCGTCGACAAAAGAGCTCACATCAAAATTATTTTATTCAGCCTAGAGGATTGAATTTCAGGCGGGGCCCAAAAACTTTGAGAGGCAGGTGTCACTTTCCCCTGCAGGCAGAGGCCCTGAAGGCAGAGGCGTCAATTTTCGGAAAATATATCTGTTCGGAAGAGGATTTGAGATGTACAATTTTCGGAACATTTGTTGTAAAATTTCTTGCTTGCTTGCCTCTCCTAGGATTTTCGAACATCTAAAAAATGGTATAATTGCCCATTTTTAACGGATTTTTACTTTAAAAAGACCACCTAGAATTTTCGGGAGCCTCTTTTCTGGCTGAAATTTTCGAAAAGTTAAGTTTTGACCCCTATATTTTTCGGATCACTAGACTTTCAGCTAGGAAATCCGAACAGATAAAAATTTTTAGGGGATAAAAATATGCCTATATCTACCGTTTAAATACTAAAATACGTTTTACAATGCTATGTTTAGGTGGTTTTGAACTATATTCTCTTTGGGTGCTCCTGTTTCGTTATTTTTGATGATTTCTCGGATTTTTGTCTGGGTTCCTTTTAAAAATGCGTAAGTAATCAAAATCAAACTATCTGTATTATGGAGGCGACGCTTAGAATGCACATATTTTTCAAATATGAAACACTAAGCAGTTAAGGTCAATCTTTGATGTATACAGCTATTTCGAGAAAGGTTGTCGGAAAAAGTGCACGCGACAATCCCGTAAGGTATTGTGGGTGGTTTTAAGTTCGCTGTTTTTCAAAGGAATCTGAAAAAAACGCACGAGAGGCCATGGACATATGTTTGCGAGTGCTAAAGGAAAGCAACAAAAGTAGGATCGACAGCTACAAAGCCAGGAACAGTGTATTGATCATATCCCATATTATCTTTCGGGATTGTCGCGTGCACATATTTTCCGACAACCTTTCTCAAAATAGCTGTATACAAAACAGGCCACTCAGGACCACTCTCCAAAACATCTATGATTACGAGGTCGTTAACCGCTTTTCCCACTGTTTTTCGATGCGAAAAGACTATGATGCGAGACTATACTAGTTTTGTTGCAATCGAAGTCGTCACTACTTATTTACAAACAATTAACTGGAATAATATTTGAAATGATACCGATGTTAACTAGTCATTTTTTTCAAATTCCATATACTGAAAACAGAGTAACAAATAAATGCAAACCTTGAGAACTAAACGTCTTGCTACATCGTGGTTGCCCAAAAGATTACAAGCCGGTGAGAAAAACTATGAGAATAAATTCCTATTTAATTGGTACTAATAAATTGTACAGAAAAAATATTGCAAATGCTTGATATTGGAATAAAAAAAATTATACGCCAAACGTACACACGATCAAGTCAAATTAAACTAACACGAATTTGCAAAGTCAGCGGAAACTGGAATCAAATTGGAAACTGACGGCAACTTACGGGAACTATAATTGCTTGTGAAGTCCCTCAGGCTAAGAATTCATTCTCTGATCAATTTACTTTAGCTAATTAAACCTACAGCTGCCAAATGGCACTTTTTCTTTTGATCCAATTAACCCAAATGACATCTCTTTCCAGTTTAATTACTGACTAGCTGGGTCAAAAGGGTGGAATACAGTGCAGTATTAGTATACTCGAGGCCGGTCAGCGGTTTTTTCGCCTGTTTTAATGGTGTAAACATAAATTGTAAAAGTACGGAAATCCGTTTTCAAATAATTTCCGTTAATTTTAATTTCTAAAATATTTACGTCTCAGTCACAGATATTAGATGAAGAATATTTTGGCAGCAATATAATTATGAAAAGTCCTTCGGTCATGTGCTTATTTTACATATTCTTAGTTTTA